GAAGAATATTTAGTTTTACAAAAACAGCGACGAGAACTTAATGAACAGATGGCAAACGCAATGATTTCTTTAAAAAAATATGAACTTACCAAGATAACTGATTGCCCACTTCACAATAATAAAACTACTGTCTGTTTGTACCACTTTTTAGAATGGTGTAGACAAAGGGGCTGTGAGCCTGACGATTTATGGCCGCAAAGCAGGTGCTGTCGCCACGGACTGTATTGATTATGGTGTTTTAATTTTGCCCTCGATGAAAATAATAATAATAAAAAGACAGCGTTTTTTGACACGTTGTTAGAAGGGTAAAGAATTAAGTTAGTTGAGACAACATGATATTTCGAAGCATAGATAAACAGAGTGAAAGCAAGAAAGATAGCGTTGGGTAATTCTATGTAATGACAAGACACCTAGAAATCAGAAATGATTGTCACTACTGATTAAGGTTTGAGGTTAACGGTTTGAACATCATGGGACACGGGCAGTAACCCATAGGTGCTCAGTTAATCTTTTAACTCAAGTCTTAGTCCGAAGAAGCTCAGCACAGTGCACAGACTCTGTGGCACTGGCGAGGATCCTACAATACTTTTGGTAGATTTTAAACTCCAAATTTTTGTACGGACAGCGCCGTTAGGTACTCTTTTTGATTTCCAACTGCCAAGGGATTTTTTTTTACAACAATGCACACGTGCGTCCGATCTCACTACCCAGAGACCTGGGGGGGGGGGGGGGGGGGAAATCACTATAAGTCTTAGTCCGCGTGAAAAAATCCCAGCTCTTACCAGGGATTTGAACCTATAGCACTCGAGGCGGATACCATGCATTAACTGCATTATCTTGGCTAGTAAAGATGGGGATGAGGTCACCCATATAGCTCCATTGAAAAAAAATCTGCTTGCTTCTAGTGTGTAACTGTTCTACGGTCTCTAGTTTATTTCCTCACCATCATCAAGTACTCTTGTAGTTTTTCTGTAGTACAATATTCTTTCAACACTCCCTACACTTGTCGCTAGGGCTAAAAGAAGTAGGGGCATGTCATAATAATACACCAGTCTCACACATTCAAAAGCAATTAATGTTTGCCGTCAATGTTTACGGATCTGATATTTGAAGGTTTGAAACAATCCTACAAAGTTAATGCAAGCGTGACCAAAAATCTCTTCAGACAGGATTGATTGACTTGATATGCTAGTGGAGCGTGACGTAAACATCAATAATCAGAATAATCTTGAAAGTAGTAATCCACTCTATGTAATCCACTCTATGTAATCCACTCAATGTAATCCACTATATCAAACAACTCATTGTTTACGTCTTATTAGGGTCACCATACGTCCCGTTTACTCCGATGCAGTCCTGTCTTTGAGGTATAGCCTGTGGGCACTTCCCCTTTTAAAAAAACCACAACCCCCCCCTCTTCCCTTTACACACACACACACACACACACACACACACATACACACACACACACACACACACACACACACAAACAACAACAACAAACTGCCAATTGTTCCGTGTTATAAACGTCTGGAGAAGAGCACAAACGTATAGTTATCTCTGTATTATTTATTAGATTTCGTAGCTTTTATATACTTTTAATGCCTAAAATGTCACAAGAGCATTGTTTTTTTTTTCAGTGCGTTTTTTAAAGAGCATATTGTTTCGTTTATTTCTTGGCGACATTGGTTCAGATCTCTGTGAAGCCAGTAATAAACCCTCTCACGTCAGTGACATAGAACAACGGGGGTGGCTCGAACCATCCTGTTTGGGATGTCACATTTCAGCTTAAAGTATTCGTGAGATGTTCTGTTTTCAGCTCACAAAAGTTATAGGATGTCCCGTTTTCAGCTCACAATAGTGATAGGATGTCCCGTTTTCGGCTCACAATAGTGATAGGATGTCCCTTTTCAGCCCACAATAGTGATAGGATGTCCCATTTTCAGCTCACAATAGCAGTAGGACGTCTCGTTTTTAGCGCAGGATTTATGGTCACCCTCCTTCTTATGCTACTAAGATGCATATAATGGTAGGGGATGCATGGTCTCGAGGTATGGTGTCCGTCTCGAGTGCTAGAGGTCCCGGGTTCAGGCCCCGATGAAGGCTGGGATCATTTTCTGTTCACGTGGACTTCAAGAAATTTTCCCCTGGTCTCTGGGTAGTGACATCGGACGCCCGTGTGTATTGTTGCGCACGTAAAAAATCCCTTGGCAGTTGGAAATCCAAACAGGGCAGGATTTGGAGTTAAAAATCTACCCAAAATATTTCAGGATCCTCGCCGGTGCTACGGAGCCCGTGCACTTCGCTAAGCTACTTCGGACTCAGACTTAAGTTAGAAGAAGAACAGAGCGCTTATGGGTGTGCCAAGATGTTGATCTGTTGTTCAAACTTCAAACTTCAAGAGGAATATTATGAATTAATTAAGTAACAAAAAGTGTATTGATCGGCACTCATAGAAAGAAGTAGAAAGATAGAAGAACGCACTAGACAACATAAAAATCGAAAGCTATTGTTACTGTGCCGGGAATTGAACCTGTCACCTCTAGACGGCGGCGGCCATGGACAAGGTGCACTAAAAACATGGTCAACTAGGCCCCCCCCCCCCCCCCCCCCCCCCCCCAAAAAAAAGGTGTCTTATTGGCCATGTCTATCGTACAGCTTGAAATTCACATTTATGAAATACGGACAGAATTCCTTTTAAACCATTTAAATGGCACCATAGGTTACAGAAATTTATATCAACGAAGCTCATGTCGAATAACAATCACAGCAACAATTTACGAACACAGTGGACCTTAATGCTTTGTCTAGAATACACAAACATTAAAGAACTCCCGAGTCCCGAGTTGAAGAGCCGGTAGTCCCAAAGCCGATGCTGCCACTAAGGCGTTAAGTATTAGGTTCGTAATAAATACACTTTTTTCAGTCCAACAATGATTGTAAGATTATCTAAATATTGATAGTACAGTTTATTTCTTAACCCCAACCCAGACAGGTGTAAATTGTTGTTTCCCAAAGTGGGAGCTAGGAGGCTCTGGAGGGCGGGGTGGGGGGGGGGGGTGGGGGGGGGGTTTGGTTTAGGAGGTAAAACGAGGACGGGGGGGGGGAGAGTTGTTAGCAGCCTTAGGTTACACACAGAGAAGCTTTATCGAGTGTGTTAGGGGCTGGGGTTTTTCTCAATTTTTCCAACTCCAGTTTATTTTTAAAAGTTAGTTACCACCCCAGTAGGGGGCGCAATTTTTCATGTTTTTAAAGCCCCACATCGGCTGTTGACTGAGGGCACCAATATAACCTAACGGTTGAATGGGGTTCCTGGGATTTGCACTGGAGGATTCTCATCCGAATAGTGGCACTTTGTGTCACCGGCGTTAATCGCTAATTGTGTGGTCATAGTTGGGTTCAACGTCACTCACTCACTCCCTTAACGTAGAGTTTTCAGTAATCAAGATGACCTGGCATCGACAACAGTCGTGTCCACAAAATTATCATTTTTTTCATTTCCTTGCTTCAGTGCCAAACATGGACAACGAAAAGGGCACTGACTCCGCAAGGTAAATAACAACACAAGAAGAGACAGGGTTACGAATACCAGCATTAAAGAGAGAGATGAAATATAACCATGTCTGGAGTATACTGATAGACAGAGAATAAAGTGATTCGGTCATCTAGTGAGAATGTAGACAAACCAAACAGCATAAGAGACTTTTTACAGCAGAACATCTGGGAGAAAAAAGAGAGACAGACCAAGAAAGAGATGGATAAATGGTTGTAGTTAAAACCTTTACGTTGACTTCTAGTAATTTTCCTTCTGGTCTCTGAGTAGTGAGACCGGACGCCCGTGTGTATTGTTGCTCGCTAAGAAATCTGATGGGAGTGGGAAATCGAAATGAGTAACCTAAAAGCACTGCCTCAGCAACAATTTGGAATTGAAAATCTACTCAAAGTATTTCATGATCCTCGCCAGTGCAACAGTTCGTTCGTGTACTGCGATCGAATACTTTAGACTCAGGCTTGGGTTATAAAAAGAAGGAAGTACTTATGGGTTAGAAGCGTGTGCCATGATGTTGATCTGTTAAATAAATATAAACAATATATTAGGGCCTGATCAAGCTTAATCCAGACACATCCTTAATTAGGCATCAGGAAATGAACTGTGAAGTAAACGCGACAGGCATGAGTTATAACACATAACTCACTGAGTGCGGATTAGTAAATGGAAAAAAAAAACTTTGCACCAAAAGCTTTGTGAGTCCTGCCGTAAATATGATTCTTTGGTTTGTTAACTTCTAAGTTATCCGCAAATCTCCCCTTTCTAACGTTTTCTTGTTATATCGACACGGTGCTGTAATTCTTCGTTCGTATTAAGTTACCCTTGTACCAACGCACTAGGCAATATAATAGTTAACTAGATACCTGAACAAAGCAATTGTAAACTAGTGGACGTAAATTTGCTCTAGAAAAACCACACAGCAGCCAGGGACTGTTGGGGTTGGTTTTGAAAGGTCCTGTAAAGGATACGCAACAACCAGATACCCGAACGTCTGCGCAGTTTCACAGAAGCGCAGTTAACGCTGTTGTTTATGCTAACCTGTCACTGCTCGCTGACTCTATGACCTCAGGCGAAGGTTAAAAAAATGTGGGTTAAGCTTGAGTACCAGACAGCTGGGGAAAAGAAAAAAAAAACGTCCAGCGCTAGTTTCCGGATCCAAGCTGAGATTTTCGCAGAATTCTTATTTATCACTGTAATATTACGATGCCTACTAAAGTATCAGGATATCCTCAGAACAACAAAGTTCCGCGTCCGGGTAATATTGCTGGGTTCCGAGCAGTATTTAATGACGACCAAAATGTGGTTCAGACATCAGTGGCTTGAAAGATCACACATATCGCGAGTGCTTCAGCTGCAAAGTGTTTGGCTCAAAACATCTGCCCGGCTTTTGAATTATATTCACTCTCACAACACGAAATCTGATAGGTAATTAGAAAGCTCTGCTGCCATCATGTTGTCTATGAATCTGGTCGTGTTATTTGTCGTTGCTGCTGTTTTTGCTTTGTCTTCATCAGCTGTAGTCGATCCTAAAGCTAACAGCAACGCCAAGGAGAATTTGATTGATGACAAGGCAGTCGGTGTGAATGACACATATGTTTCTGATCTAAGTGACGATGACGACGACACCGATGATGACAAGGATGCAGAAATTGACGGGATCCCCATCAAGTCTCTCACAGAGAATGAGCTGAAGGACCTGCTTGATGAAGAAGACAATATTATAGTGGCTCAGCTGGGTAAGTATTTCCGAATCTTTGTTCAAACTAATGTTTTAACTTGTTCATTCACAGACTTACTTTTTCGGTTCACTTCTTCTTCTTTTAATCTATTTAATGTGGCATTGGTATCATTATCCACAAGTTTGTGTCTCGTATACTTCTGTCACTTACAAGAAGAAGAAGAAAAAAAGAAGAAGAAGAAGAAAAGAAGAAGAAGAAGAAGAAGAAGACGAGAAAGAAGAAGAAGAAGTAGTAGAAGTAGAAGAAGTAGTAGTAGAGTAGAAGTAGAAGAAGAAGTAGTAGTAGAAGAAGAAGAAGAAGAAGAAGTAGAGAAGAAAAGAAGAAGAAAGAAAGAAGAAGAAGAAAGAAGCTAAGAAGAAGAAAGAAGAAGAAGAAGAAGAAGAAGAAGAAGAAGAAGAAGAAGAAGAAGAAGAAGAAGAAGAAGAAGAAAGAAGAAGAAGAAGAAGAAGAAGAAAGAAAGAAGAAGAAGAAGAAGTAGAAGAAGAAGAAGAAAGAAGAAGAAGAAGAAGAAGAAGAAGAAAAAAGGAAAGAAGAAGAAAGCGAAGACGACGAAGTTGTAGTCGTAGTAGTAGTAGAAAATAATAATATTAATAATAATAATAATAATAATAATAATAATAATAATAATAATAATAATAATAATAATAATAAGAAGAAGAAGAAGAAGAAGAAGAAGAAGAAGAAGAAGAAGAGAAGAAGAAGAAGAACTACGGATAACACCAGTAAGGGCGTGGTGATGCATCAAGTGCTTTAAAAGTTATTGAAAACAATGCACTTTAGTATTCTTCATGCCTACCCCCTTTACCCATAGCTTCTCGTTAATAAACTTAATGTCAATTATTCAATAGATTAGGACACCAGGTAAGGAGTTTTTGTGTGTGTGCCAAAAATGGCGCTGGTTACCAGAATTACCCAGCTTTGAGCGAGTGCAAGGTAGATTCATGGGAAGTAAAGGCGGTCCGGCGTTATGTTTACCATATCACCCACCGGGTGCTGACTGGCAGATAAAATATACATCTAGCTTTATATGAACAACGCCTGAAGTCGTGAAAGAGGGTGCTTCACTTGTTTTTGTCTTATGAAACTAGGCCACAAAAATCGCTTTTATACACGATTAACGTGTGTGATCATCGTTTATTTTTCTTCAGTCGAGCAAAGGATCTCAAAAAAGTCTTGTAAATTTGACCTATCCCTCTGTCGCATCATTCTGCTCCCCATGTAGCTTCTGGATCCTTGCCATTTTGTTCATCTTATTTTATCCCTTTCCTGTTTATTTACTCACCCAATTTAGTAAAAGTAAGATCCCTTTACACGCTTTAGGCGCATCGGACATATGGGAAGAACGTCCCATATTTTTACAGACCAATCGGCACTGGGTGGGTAATGTGGTCAGATAAAAATCCACCCAGCCAGCAGTGGATTTTGGTATGTTAGAATTACCAGAGCTCACCTAGTGCCCTCATAATTCTCTCTCTCTCTCTCTCTCTCTCTCTCTCTCTCTCTCTCTCTCTCTCTCTCTCTTGATGAGGGTAGAATTAGCTTCCATTGACATTGTTGCTTCCGGTGCAAGAACATCAGCAACAACAAAACAACAACAAACACAACAGTCTGTTATAACAGCAATAAAACAAAAAGATTTATTGACACAATTAACATATTCTGATCTCTTTCACAGACATTGAAGGTGCAAGGAAAGTAATTGCCGACAGAAACAAAGAAACACAAAATGACATTATCAGTCCAAAGCCACAAAGACGCCAGAGACGTTGGATCGGCCTCGCAGGCCGTGCCTTTATGTCCGCAGGTCGCGCCCTCTTCGGGGGCGCCTCTAGAGCTGCCAAACCTACAGTCAGTGGAAATCGTATTACACAGTCCTATGCCAGGTAAATATATACTGTCGGATGTAGTCCTTATACAAAGTCCCATGCCAGGTAAATATATACTGTCGGAGGTAGTATTTATACACAGTCCTATGCCAGGTAAATAGATATAGTTAATGGTATCCGTGTATCACAGTCCTATACTTACTTACTTACTTACTTAGTCGCTCCTCTTCTACCTTGGGGTGTAGAGGTTTGCCAGAGAGATCGCCAGACGTCTCTATCAGCAGTTTCTTTCTGGCTTTGTTCCATTCCAGCCCTCTGTCAGTTAGGGACGTCGGATGTTGTTTTCCCAGCGCACCCTGGGTCGTCCCCGGAGGTCTGTCTGGTCCCCTGGGTTCTTAGCCTCCCATGCCTGCCATGGTGGCCCCGATTTTCTCCCATTCTGCATACATGTCCCAACCCATCGAAAACTGTGACTGATCCACTCGGGTTAGTAAGGGCTGGGTATCAAGATCCTGACGTTATTTTCTGATTGCGGACTTTGTCCCTTCTTGTCACTTGGACCACCTTTCTCAGGTATCTCGTTTCCGAGGCCTATCACAGTCCTATGCCAGGTAAATATATACTGTCGGGGGTAGTCCTTATACACAGTCCTATGCCAGGTAAATATATACTGTCGGAGGTAGTCCTTATACACAGTCCTATGCCAGGTAAATATATACTGTCGGAGGTAGTCCTTATACAAAGTCCTATGCCAGATAAATATATACTGTCAGATGTAGTCCTTATACACAGTCGTATACCAGGTAAATAGTTATAGTTAGTGCTATCCGTGTATCACAGTCCTATACCAGATACATAAGGTACAATCAGCTGTAGCGGTTTTACGCAGTCGTTGAAAGTAAGTGGCGTATCCTTTATACGTTGCATAGGCACCAACACCAGCATTTGCTGACTGGTTGTAGCTTTCTCATCGTGTGTCTTCCCTGACTATATTTTGGAAAGGGAAAAAGGGGATGTGAGAGGGGGGGGGGGAGTGGAGCATAGACCCGTTGTCCACTAACATACATGAAGGAGGAGACTTCTTCTTAACGTTCATGTCGTGTGGCTTTAACAGTCATGCCTATCCACAACCGTCTGTTTCGTGAACTTTCAGTCAACACTGACACAGATGATCTTCCATACTATGATGTCACACTGTTCAGCATCTTTTCTCTTTGTCTCCCTCTGCCTCTCTTCTCCTTCGGCATTCTTTCTGTCAGGATGTACCCAGTTTTCTCCTTCTCATCACCAAAGAATGTTGTTTGTCTCTTTCTGATGTGGGCATTCAGTTGTCTTCGTGAGTCAGTTTCTTTTCAGAACGTCTTCATTATTCTTTTTATTTCTCTGGGGTATTCTAATCTTTCGTCTATAAAACCACATCTCCACAGCTTCCAAATGATTTGCCATTAATCTGCCAACTGTCCGTGATTCACTTCTATATATAAAGACAGGAGCTAAGTAACTTTTATGAGTTGTCTTTCTCATCTCAGTTAAAAAAGTAATTATTGCATGAAATATTTGTCAGTTTGTAAAATGCCGCCCTTGCTTGAGCGATTCTACATTTAACTTCTTTATTACATCTTCCATCTGATGTTATTAGGGTGCCCGTATGGGAGGCGATTAATTAAAGGTATTCACTTTCCAAGTCAGAATGCACGAGCCTGAGATGCCAGGACCAGTCCCGCGTATAAATGAGCCACATCTGTAAAACGGATGTTATGTCTCTGTGGGATGCAATTTTTCGTTATTTTTAAGCCCCACCCTGGCTCATGCCAGAGGCCACAATATAGCATTGCAACAAAAATGGCCTAATGGCTGAACGCGGTTTCCGAGAAGTCACCACGGGTGATCATCATCCACATGGTGGAACTTTGCGTCATCAGGTGTTTATCGCATATGTGATGTCCTAGTGGGGTAAAATGCACTACTACTACTAATAAAAACAGATATGAACAAAAACAAAGTTCTGGAATAAAAAAAAAAAAAAGTGGACAAAACAACCAGAACTTTCAGTCGGAGTTAGCAGCCTGTGAAGGCTAAAAAGAAGGACAACAAGAAGTCAGTAGCGCATACTATACACGGCATCGGAAACCAATCCTTGCTTGTTTGGCTGCTCATGGTTTTATTTTGCAGCTTTGTGTTCAGTAAGTTTGTCTTTGATTCTGATCGATACGGCGCAACGTGCCCTGCTGTCAAATAGCCCACAGCCGACTTACAACCCTTTTATATAAGAATTATGAAATTTCGCTCATAATTTTTAATCAGGGCGTCCGGATTCTGAAGACTTATTCAACTACTACTACCACTACCTTCACCACCACCACTACCTTTCAACCACCAATTACTACCTCACATACTACCACTACCTTCACTTCCCAGCACCCTCTCCCCCAATCTGTAAGTTCACCACCACCAGTACCTTCAACACCACCCACCTTCACTACCCCACTACCTTCCACCACCACCACGTACCTTCACCACCACGGCACTTCTTGTCCTAAGTCTCATACTCAAAAATAATCTTCAGCATGTAAGTAAAAAACACCACTACCTTCACCCTTTTCACGCCTTTCACCACCGGGCGCACCTTCACCACCACCACTACCTTCACCACCACCACTACCTTCACTACTACCACTACCTTCACCACCACCACTACCTTCACCACCACCACTACCTTCACCACCACCACTACCTTCACCACCACCACTACCTGGGTCGACACCACTACCTCCACTATACCACGACAAAAATCCACCACAGCCCACAGTGGATCCTTCAGCCACCACCACTAACATAAACCACCACCACTACCTGACCACCACTGACTACCTTGTACCACCACAGGACTAGGAAATATATAACGACGCAGTAAGCACTTCAACCGATCTTAGGCTTCCTGACACCTGCCCCGAGAAAACTTGAGGAATTTCAACAAAAATGGAATCAGCGGCCAAACCGGCACAGTCGGCCCCCACCGTTTCACTGTCCGTGACGGAAGCAAGCAAGGATCTCCGACTTTGGAAATTCGCTCGCCCAAACCAAACGGCGAATACGTCAGAAAGTTTCGATACGAGAAATGAATCAATATAAAATGAAAAGCTGTACGAACTGACTTTCTTGTATTTGTTGGCCAGTATAAATATAATTACGCAGTTCGGGACTTCAACCGATTCCGACCGGAGAACTTGAAGAATTCTGCCAAAAATGGAATCAGCGGCTTAGACAGCATAGAACGGCCCCCACCGTATTTACTGTCCGCATGACGGAAGCAAAGCAAGGATCTCGGACTATTCAAAATTCGCTACGCCGGAAACCAAACGGACTGAATACTTCAGAAAGTCAGGACATCACGAGAAATGAAGAAAATTGTGACACCAAAGTGCCACTTTGCTTGTTGTTGATTTGCCCGTGGATAGTAATTTAGGAGAATGATATCATTTGTAAAATTGCCATTGTTATTGAATGCTGCTACATTGATTGCGTCCTTAGACACCAAGCCAGGGTAACGAAATAACCAAAAATTTTCTGTCCTAAAAAGGACTGTTAATTTCGCTGTTATTTATTAATATCCTATTCCCGGTTGACGGCACTACATTTTCGAGGGTTGTAAGACTGGGTTTCCGGGCTTTCTGATGCTTTTAACGAACCCAAAACATCTACAACTGGCCCGAACCCCAACCCACCTACATCCTTCGAGAGAGTGCAGCCTAGGTCCGACGAATGCATGTAGTCTAGGTCCCACGACTGCGAGCGGCCTATCTAGCACCTCCTGAAATATTAGACTGTCCCGTGACCTGTGGATTTGCCCTGTTTGGGGTAGGGTTTTAATAAAACACTTATTTAGCTAATTTATCCAGTTTTAAATATTTGTTGATGTGTTAAAATGAAACTATATCGCTTGGTAGCTGTTGCAAATAATTCCCTCCATAAATTCATTTTCGCTACGGTTATGACTGACAATGTTTATAGTATTTTACTGTTTATCATCATCATGTGCTGTACCGGTAGGCGAAGGCTGTCATGTCCTGTTTCGCCATCTTACACCATCACCAGAATCATAGATAAGTTCAGTATTTTTGTCTGACCCCATCCATCTGGCAAGGTCATCTAGGTATTTTCCCCTTTCTTTCTTTTTTTTTTTTTTGGTCAATCTTTCAGACAAAGCGCGAACACCGTAGCAATGATCTCCGTGGAGCTCCACAGAAATTGCACTCGTGACCTAACCCAACCGTGTAACGAACCCACAACCTTCAGAGCTCGAACCGAACAGTTTTCCCACTTCGCCACGAAGACACCTCCTACCAACATCAATCTCCACCACCCGGAATGTAAGGGGGGGGGGGGGGGGTGGGTGTGTCAGGCATCATAACATAAGGCTATTATATAGTTTTACTTTTAGTGTGTTATTTTTGATACTTGCCATGCTATGCGTTTTAAGAGCCCAGTATTTGATGTGATCGGGTTTTTGATGCTGATACAATATTCGATAGATTGATTGTAATGTTTGACATACTACATATATGTCTGAAATTTGAGCATGCCTAGAATACAACTGACTTTTGTTGACAAAAAAAGAATTGTTCTGTTTTTCTTTGCAATTATTATGTTAATAGAATGCAGAGATGCTCTGAAGACACAGGACTGGGGCTAATACAGTTCGAGATCTATTCACATCTTCCCGCGGTCATCCTAAAAACAGGTTCTCACTTGGGGACCGGGTCAAAATGGAAAGGATCGATGCTTCTTTGGAAGCTGGAGTGCGTCTGCCTGAGAGCGGGAAACCAACGTTCCTCACATAAGTTAGATAAGTAAAACGAATGTGCACCCAAAACTCAAAAACTGGAACAAGATCAAAGTCCAGAAGTCGACCAGTTGTAGATGTCTTGGTGTCGTTAAAAGCATCAGAAAGCCCGGAAACCCAGTCTTATCACTCACGAAAATGTAGTGACGTCATCCAGGGTAGGATATTAATAAATAACCGCGAAATTACCAGTCATGCAGACAGTAAATACTGGACTTTCGGCAGGAGTTTACAGTCGGTACATGTAAAGAAATAGCAGCAGCAGCAACAGCAGCAGCAGCAGCAGCAGCAGCAGCAGCAGCAGTAGTAGTAGTAGTAGTAGTAGTAGTAGTAGTAGTAGTAGTAGTAGTAGTAATAGTAGTAGTAGTAGTAGTAGTAGTAGTAGTAGTAGTAGTAAGAAGTAGTAGTAGAAGCAGAAGAAGAAGAAGAAGAAGAAGAAGAAGAAGAAGACGAAGAAGAAGAAGAAGAAGAAGAAGAGAAGTAGTAGTAGAAGAAGAAGAAGAAGAAGAAGAAGAAGAAAGAAGAAGAAGAGAAGAAGAAGAAGAAGAAGAAGAAGAAGAAGAAGAAAAGAAGAAGAAAAGAAGAAGAAGAAGAAGAAGAAAGAAAGAAGAAGAAGGAAGAAGAAGAAGAAGAAGAAAGAAGAGAAGAAGAGAAGAAGAAGAAAGAAGAAGTCCGGAAGGAATTAAAGAAAGAAAGAAAAGAAAGAAAGAAAGAAGAAGAGAAGAAGAAAGAAGAAGAAAGAAGAAGAAGAAGAGAAGAAGAAGAAAGAAGAAAGAAGAAGAAAAGAAGAAGAAGAAGAAGAAAGAAGAAAGAAGGAAAGAAAGAAGAGGAAGAAGAAGAAGAAAAATAAGAAGAAGACATTAAGAAGGAAGGAGAGAGAGAAAAAAAGAAGAACAAACGATAAACACCAGGTGACACAAAGTACCACTATGCGGATGAGGTCTCCTTGGAGAGGTCCCGAAACCCCGTTGACCCGTTAGGCTATATTTATGGCCCGGCTATAAATAGGGCCCCAGGCAAAAGACAGAGTGGGGCTTCAAATAAAAAAAAATTGCATCCCACATGGGGACAGCTGTTGCTCTATAATTCAAAATAAAAAGTTGTAAAAAAAACTAAAAAACTAGCACCAAATTACAAAACAAACCAATTCAGTGAACAATGCCTAGAAAGCTGAACAAAAGATCTCTGCTTTGCTTCCTAAATGGTACTTTTCACTGTCTTTGCTATTTCTGCGGGGTCGACCTCTGGCTCTGTTACTTCTGTATCTATATAACAGTGCTCTCTGCAGCTCCCTGTTTGGTGCTTATTCGTACCTCCATTTCTTCACAATAATATTTATGAATGTCTTTAGTTATCTGAGCGGTGTCCGTGATTTAGGCGTTTCGAGTCCGTCTCGTAATTCCAACGTATCGTGATCGAAACCCACTGCTGGCGGCGTTGATTTTTAACATGGTACGGGGTGTCGTAGGTCGACCCACCCTAAAATGGGTACCAGGATATATGTCCCGGGGAAGTAAAGAAGGCCGGCGTAAAACTGACCACATTACCCACCTAGAGCCGATTAGTCTAAAAATATTGGTGCTCTTCCCATATGCCCGATGCGCCTAAATGCTTTACTTACTCAAGTTATATGTTCTGTATATGTGGTGGAAATACTAAGCTAAGGCACCTTGAGCCCACATAAATCTTTCTCAAGAGGGACTTGGAGAAACCAAAACGCAAGAGAGCTAAATGCACGTGCACTTTTGATAATCTAATACACTCTCTTTTCAGTTTAATTATAAGTAAAAAAAAAAAAAAAAATTTTTTAAATGAAACAAATATTCATAAGACAAAAAGTCCAAGTGTTTATGTTTTTATAAACAATGTCAGGAACAAAACCGGCAGCGATAGACGATGTGCTCTACATCTCACCAGTCACATTTACTTCACAAGAAACTACATGACACCAATTTAAAATTGAGTTTAGCAGGAGCCAAGGTCATTTCTGCCCCCCCCCCCCACCACCCCGCTCACAAAAAGTGGCTCCGTCAGGATCCGAACCCACCACCTTCCGATCCGCAGGCGAGCGTCTAGCCGATACACCATATACCACAGCTGCCCCATAATTAAGTGCCGGTGTTATCATCACAAGATTGTTAACGGTAGATACACAATTGTTAACGGTAGATACACAATTGTTAACGGTAGATTCACAATTGTCAACGGTTGATACACAATTGTTAACGGTAGATACACAATTGTCAACGGTTGATACACAATTGTTAACGGTAGATACACAATTGTCAACGGTAGATACACAATTGTTAACGGTAGATACACAATTGTCAACGGTAGAGATACTACGGTTGTAACGGTAGATACACAATTGTTAACGGTAGATACACAATTGTTAACGGTAGATACACAATTGTTAACGGTAGATACACAATTGTCAACGGTAGATACACAATTGTTAACGGTAGATACACAATTGTCAACGGTAGATACACAGTTGTTAACGGTAGATACACAATTGTTAACGGTAGATACACAATTGTTAACGGTAGATACACAATTGTTAACGGTAGATACACAATTGTTAACGGTAGATACACAATTGTTAACGGTAGATACACAATTGTTAACGGTTGATACACAATTGTCAAAGGTTGATACACAATTGTTAACGGTAAGATACACAATTGTCAACGGTGTGATACACAAATTGTTAACGGTAGATACACAATTGTTAACGGTAGATACACAATTGTTAACGGTAGATACACAATTGTTAACGGTAGATACACAATTGTCAACGGTAGATACACAATTGTTAGCGGTAGATACACAATTGTTAACGGTAGATACACAATTGTTAACGGTAGATACACAATTGTTAACGGTTGATACACAATTGTCAACGGTTGATACACAATTGTTAACGGTAGATACACAATTGTCAACGGTTGATACACAATTGTTAACGGTAGATACACAATTGTCAACGGTTGATACACAAACTGCTATTTAAAACAAATAGTCTTGGCTTTTTGTTTTATATATGGTTTTATCATCACCACGTGCCCTGCCGACTGTAGTAGGAGTTCATTCATCTCCATAGATCTATGTCCCTTATTATCTGGATCAGTTCCACCAATGGTATCCTTCCATGTCACCGTTTTAGTCCATCAGCCATCTTCTCTCTTGTTCTGCATCTCCCTCTTCTACCGTTGATCTTCCCAGTCGCTACACCATTCACCAAAGCCTCCCTAGTCTTCACATGACCAAATTACAGTT